GTTCAGCTGCCTCTGGCAGAACCATAGTCCCGAAACTTAAGTGGCGGCGAAGTGGGCACTGAGTCAACTGCAGGTGCCGTTTGAGGACCACGTGTGAAACTCCCTGTGAGCCAGATGTCCCCCCAACTCCTCCCTCTCTGGTCCCTACACCCCAAGACATATGCAGGCCCACTTCAGAAAGGGTATCCCTCAATACTCACAGTGTAACGACATATCACATGTTCACATTCTATCTTTATTTAGATTCAGATCTATATAACTGGGGGTGGGGGAAACATACTTTGCAGCCATAAGGTTATACATTTGGGTGTAATTCATCAAGCTGCACTTTGATAAGGGGCTTCTCTGGTTGCTCAGTGGTAAAGAATCCACCTGCCAGTGCAGGAGACTCAGATTCAATCCCTGGGCTGGGAAGATCCCCTGGAGAAGGAAATGGCAACCCACTCCAGTATTCTTGCCTAGAGAATCCCATGGACAGAGGAGCCTGGCAGACTACAGTCCATGGGGTCGCAAAGAGTTGGACATGATTTGGTGACTAAATAATAATAAGCCTTTTTATAAACGGCCCATCCTACTTAAAATCTGCTGCTTTGTCTTCCATTCCCAGGTCTCATTCCCTTCCTGGATTTCCTAAGGTCGATTTCCTACTGTCAAAATATAACTTGCAACTCTGGTGTCTTTCTCACTCCATCCAAAATGCAGGGCGATTGGCGCTTCCCCCAAGCTAACTGTCCAGCAACTTGCAATCCACACACAGAACAATCCTGCTTTTCTTGATCTGGGAGCATATTTCATAGTCAGTTTCTTTCCTGATGATTCCCTTTGTTTCCTGTACCCTTTGCTTTTCCCTTTCGAACTGAGATGGTTCATTTTATCTGCTTTTTAAACCGGGCTGCATTACCTGTTAGCAGTTTGGAGGAGGGCTTGGAGAAGGATGTGAAACTGTCTCTGTTGTCCTCGAGAGAAGGGAGATGAAAGAGGCTGACAGGATGAAGAGGCAGCGAAGAGAAGGAAACCACTTCTCCCACAGGAAAGACCCAAAAGCATTCTTGATGCCAGCCTCCCAAAGATGTGGTCACTACACTTGTATACTTTAAATGTGAAGCCATTTTTTAGCTAAAAACTACAAGGCCACAGACACACGAGTAACAAAAGTAAATACCAGGGAAGTTAGAGATCCCCCTCCCGCCCCGCCCCCGCCAGAATTCTTGAAATGCTTATTTTTAATTATTCCCACTCCTCTTCTGTTAAAACAAACTTGGGCTTGGCCTTCCCAGGGACCCCTCCCTAATGGGAGGAATTAGATTCCATGCCACCCTCCCTGGTTCTTTGATTCTGGGTTGGCAGGGAACCCTCTACAAGCCTCCCCAGGGCGTGGTAAGGCACCTGGCCTGTCCTCCAATCCAATGCTGCTGCCCAGTTACTCAGCTCCATGAACCTTATGCAGCCCAGAGGGAATTCCTATAGAAGCAAATGTTTTATAGAACCTGATGGGAGACAGCTTCCTGGGGCGGGTCTTTTCTTTGGCAGTGTTCAGAGTTGCCAGTTCCACAGGTGGATTTCGAGGTTGATTCAGGGAGCCTGCAGGCCCAGAGCTGCCCTCTCTATGGCCACTGGGATTCCCAAGGATTGGCTGTCACCGCCACCACGGAAACCCCTCTGGCTTGAGGAATCAGGCCACAAGAGGTGACCTGCATTCTCAGCGGCTACACTACTCCCTCACAGCTTCAGGAAAGGCAGACACAGCTATGAAATCGATCATACCTGTGTAGCACTATATCATCAAAAGACACTTTCATAGACTTTGTCTCATTTGATCCCCACATTCGAGATAGGTTGGCAGGAATTATCTCTATTCTAAATATACAGAAATTCAAGAATTTCCCTAGCAGTCCAGCAGTTAGGACTCCACACTTCCAATGCGAGGGCCATGCCTTCAATCTTTGATTGGGGAACTAAGATCCCACAGGTCATGCAGTGCAGCCAAAAATTTTTTTTAAATAAAATAGATAAATAGTTATCAGTGATGACAACTGACCTGCTCTGGATTCATCAGCTGGACCTGGGGCTTAAACACACCTTCGATTCTCCCTGGCCCACTGTCTCTCTGTGACCCCTGCCACTGCCTTCCTCAATCAGGAATCCAGGCCCACATGATAGCCCTCACCCAGCTGCATAGCCCCCGAGGAAGGGGGCATCTTTTGCAAAGCTCCGTCCACTAGCCAAGCCACCTGCACCTGGGGCTGCTTCTGCCCAAAGAGGGCATCTTGCCATTTGTACAAAGCCACAGCATGGACTAGCGGCGGCCTTGAGAATAAAATGTGTTCTGAGCCTGAGGAGACAGCTTTGCAAAAATAAACTTAGGATCTTGAGTTCACCCTAAAAACAACCAGCACACAAGTGGTGAGAAAGGCCTGGGAAATGTGGCCTGACCCCTGTGCTCTCTTCTGGGTGCAGGTACGGGAGTTAGAAAGCGAGCTGGATGCTGAGCAGAAGAGGGGGGCCGAGGCTCTGAAGGGTGCCCACAGATATGAGCGAAAGGTCAAGGAGATGACTTACCAGGTAGGCAGTGACTCTCCTGAAACCCCAGTGGGCGCCCCCTGGATCCCACCCGCAGATGCAGCAGAGAATGGGTCTGGCATGGACCCTGTGTTTGCAGGCAGAGGAGGACCGCAAGAACATCCTCAGGCTCCAGGACTTGGTGGACAAGCTGCAGGCCAAAGTGAAGGCTTACAAGAGGCAGGCGGAGGAGGCTGTGAGTATGGGGTCCATCCTCGTCCATAGGGTCCATGGCAGCTGAGGCCTGCGTTTTCATTTGCAGGCTATAAACACAAGCTCAGGAAGTCTGCCCTCTCCCTCCCCTATTCCCCTCTCCCTCCCGCATTCTCCTCCCCTTCTCCCTATTCTCCTCCCTCTCCCCAAGGCGCCACCAGTCCTGGCCCATACCCCTCCATCCCTCCACTCTGCCTTGACCCACCTGGCTTTATCCCACCCACCCTGACTCACTCAGAGCTCCCTGTCCCTGTGAGCTGACCTCAAATACCTGGTCTTAATTCATGTCATCCCATCTTACCCCTGGCCCTGGCCCCCACCACCTCCATCCTTCCTTGGCCTCCCTCACTCCCACTCCTCAGTTCATGCTTTTGGATCTACTCTTGAACAAACAGTGGAACCAACAGAGGGGAAATGGTTTGGGCTGAATGAGAACTTCCCAAATACCTTCTGGGGACCCTAGGTCTGAAGGACTTTAATAGCAGGAAGCTGGGGTGGCAGGGAGGAAAGGGATGGAGTCTTTTTCTTTGATAGATGAGAAATCCTTTAGGAAACGCTGGGTTCCACAAAGTTGGAGGGTTGCTTTACTTCACGGGTTTCTCAGATTTTGCAAGTGACGTGGGATGGACCTTATAGTGGAAGAGATGTTCTGAGTTGCAGCATTTCTTACCCTTGATGGAACGTGGCATCTCTTTTTTGTAAACAGAGCATCTCATAGGACTTGCATCCTGAGAGACAAAATCTGGGGGAGCATGCGCCAGATAAATGATTGAATATGAGGCTTCTCTCCCTGCCCTTTGTCCTCCCTGTTCAAGAGGCTGGGGCTTCCATCCTGACCTCTGGGAAGCAGGTCTGGACTGGTTAAATGGGGGAGGATTAGCACAGCTGCAGCAGGAATAGCCAGGGCCCAGCAGGCCACCTTCATTAGAAACCCTTGGATGGTCCTCAACCAGACCCAGCCTGGCCACAGGCAGACGGCATTGGGAGCAGGCACGGGGCAGGGGGCGTGGACCATGGGTCTCTGACGCCTTCATGTGCCTTGGCAGACTTAGTTTCCTCTAAGAGCTCTGAGGGGTGGAGATGGCATAGAGGAGGGGCACAGGGGAACAGGCAAGCATCCTAGGGGCAAAGTGACGTGTTAGTCACTCAGTCATGTCCGACTCTGCAATCCCACAGACTGTGGCCCGCTAGGTTCCTCTGTCCATGGGATTTTCCAGGCAACAATACTAGAGTGGGTTGCCATTCCCTTCTCCAGGGTATCTTCCCCACCCAGGGATTGAACCTGGGTCTCCTGCAGGCAGATTCTTTATCATCCAATCCACCGGGAAGCCCAGGAAGCCCTGTCCTGGGGGCAGCGGACCTCCCAGGTGACTGGGCAGTGCATACGGTCAGGAGCCGGGGGCATTGCCCTCACTGCTGGAGAGCTTAGCTCTCCCTCCTCTGACCTCAGGGAATTGGGGCCCAAGCTCTCCTGGTTCCCCAGTTCCCACAGAGGCCGTCAGGGACCCAGGGCCTCAGGGCCAGAGGGAGGGGCTTCCTCAGCCTCCTGGCCCCTCGGCCTTCCCTTCAGGAGGAGCAGGCCAACACTCAGCTGTCCAGATGCCGGAGGGTCCAGCACGAGCTGGAGGAGGCTGAGGAACGCGCCGACATCGCCGAGTCCCAGGTCAACAAGCTGCGGGCCAAGAGCCGAGATGTGGGAGCCCAGGTGAGAGCAGACTCCCCGCTCCAGACACCCTGAGACTCAGGACCAAGCGGCAGCCGCAGAGCTCAGAGGGCGCTTGTCAGTGTCCCTCCTGGCTGCCGGCCATGCCTTCACTGAGGTACCGCTTTAGCCAGGTCCCCGGGGGTTCCAGGCTCACAGGAGCAGTGAGGGGCCAGGAGCCAGACGCCCTACTATCCCTGCTCCTCCCTCCCTGTTGCAAAAGGCGGTGTTCAAGAAGCCCCTGCTTTTGGGGGGATTCACCCCATCTCCAGGGGCTTGACTGGTTAGGCTTTACAATGTACAAAGAGAGACAAAGCCACGTCTTAATGTTTTTCTGAGACTCCAGCCTCTCCAGTTGCCCCGCTTGAACAGGAGGCCCGGCCTCACCTTTGCTTTGACTCATTTCCTGACTCATTTCCTGTGTACAATTCTTTTTCTCCCCCAGAAGATGGAAGAATGAGCCCCTCCCGATGCCTGTTGCCATAGGACACCTTGGGAGAGGGAAGGTGTCCTGAGAAATAAATTCTCCTGGCCACTCAGATCTCCGGCTCTGCTGTGTTTATTATCGCTGTCCGTTCTTCCTCCATGGGGTGGTTCTCAGATTCTTGCCAGGCCTGTTGTATAAACCACAAAGAAAGAGATGTGAAAGTGGACCCTCCTGGCCCTGAGTAGGAAAGGAGGAAAATCAACTCACTGCAAGATAGACCACCAGCTCCCCAGCAGTTAAAAATAACTTTCAGATACCTGTGGGCCATTTCCTACTAGGAATTCATTACTTTTTCCAGCTCAGTTCCCCTGAATTTACAGACAGGGAAACTGGACCCAGATGGATTAAGCACTCTGTAGTTATCCAGGTTGGAGGAGCCCAGACCCCCAAGATCCCAGACCCCCCAGGCTAGACCCGCCCCCCCACGACCCCAGGGCTCTTTTCCCCAAGCACCTCTGCTTTTCCATCCCATCTCTCCTGGGGCAGTGTCTCCACTCCTCTCACACCACCCAAGCTCCCAGAACATCTTCAGAGGTAGTAGGCGCTTCTGAACACAGGATTCATTCCTAGGAGGACAGTTCCTTTGGGAAGGACTGCCCATAAGCTGGTCTGCCAGCCCTGCTTGTTCCTCCTTCCCATTTTCCTCCACATGCACAGATCCTCTCCACGGTGCTCTGGCCAAGGATGAAGAGTGTGGCTAGTCTTATGGTCGCTCCCAGAGCCCCCTGACTCTGATTAAGTTGGATTTCTTGCCCTGAAAGGATAGAAATGCAGCAGCATGAACAAGGACAGGATCAGGAGCCAAGACTAAACCTGAGCCTCAAACTGAGCACGTAGTAGCAATAGCTGCGTGGCCTGGGTTGGCCATGTACTTTCTCTGAGCCTGAGTTGCCTCAATGGTCAGACTGAGCTGTGTGGCCAGGGGCATGGACTTTGGGTTCCATCAAACCTGGATGGAATCCCAACATTATCACATACCAACTGTGTGGCCTTGAGCAACTTAAGACTAACTCCCTGGGCCTCATTTTTCTTATTCTGTAAGGCAGAGATAACAATAAAAATCATAGCTTCTCTGGGACAGATGGAGGGTTGGGGTGATGGCAAGGGGTGCAGAGTTTCTAGCTTACAATGTACCAGGCACTACAACGCACTCTCCTCTAACATCTTAGACAGTCCCTTCTCTCTGGCCTCTAGATCCCTCTTTGCATCTCATCACCAGCTCACCCCTCATGCCTTTGACACAGGGATTGGGAGCAAGAATTGATTCTGAGGTCAGGTGACCTCAGATGTCTGACATCACCATCCCCACCATCATCATCACCATCCTCAATATCATTATCACCATCATCATCACCATCATCCTCACCATCACCACCATCACCATCATCATCACCATCCTCACCATCCTCACCATCATCCTCACCATCATCATCAGTATTATCACCATCCTTGGCACCATAATGCCTAAACTTAAGGACTGAAAAGGTCCATAAAAAATTATCTCCTTCAATCTTCTCAATATCATACACAAGGAAACCGAGGCCATTCTCAAAGTCCCCAGACACCAGATCATAGTCCTACACTCCTGCCACCCCACTGCATCACCCTCCCAATTAAAATGATAATACAATTTCAACTCTGCAGAACTATTCTGTAAGATGCTGAGGATCCATGTGCCCCATTTTCGTCTTTTCCACAAGGGTCTCCCAACAATCCTGTAGGGAGGTCAGGCAGGTATTAACACCCCCATTTACTAGCAGATGGGCTGTGGCTTTTCTGATGTTGAGAAGGAGCTGAGCTGGAAGCCCTTCAGACTCACCATACAGCAGTCTCACACGGCGGCCTTCCCCTGTGTGTGCTGAAAGCCCTGGGGCTGACCTTCTGGGTCCCAGTCCCACCCTACCACTCACAGCTGTGCGATTTGAAACAAGTTACTTCATGACTTTGAGCCTTTGCTGCCACATGTAAAGTGGGATGTAACGATGTGCTTTAGAGGGTTCTTCCAAGAAGTAACTAAGAATGTGCAAGAAATGCCCTTGGTCTGGAGCCAGACACATAGTTTATACTCTGGTAATGTGTCATCACAGTGGGCAGGGGTGACACATGACCTCAGAGGGCAGGTGGAATGTAAGACGGGTTCAGAGGGGGTCTGGGGTTTGGCTGTGTCTCCATGGGGATTCCTCTGGTTTAAGGAGCTAACATACCATGCACTTGAGGGGCATTAAAAAAATTTCCTGTGGAATCACTTCTTTCTGACATTCCAAAAAAAGCAGATATGAATTCCATCTGCTCCAACACTCCCCAGTTCACCTGGAGCTGCCTGGAATCTCTGCATTCGCCCCACCCTGGTTCCCCAGATCTCTAGCACATCACACTTTCCAGAAGGCCTTGGGAAAGTCAGGGAGTGTCTCTGAGCCTCAAAGTGGAGCAGGAAGTCCTGGAATTTCCTACGTCAGGATGGAACTGTTGAAAGATTCACACCTGATGCATGTAAGAGATTTTCCTAGCAACTACCCAAATTAGACATGTTTTACTAACAAGAATGATAATAATAACGATATTATTAGCTGCTGCTGCTGCTGCTGCTGCTTAGTTTAAAACCTAGCCACCAAACCTGGGCCTCAAGTTCTGGGGGGCCTTGGACAACAGAGCCTACCCTGACCTACTGGCCTCTTCAAAACAGAGCTTTGCTGCCACCTCCTGGCGGTGGAAAGACAGGCTTTTCATTATACAAATGACCCAGAGATCTTACCCCTCGAGTCTCAACATTAGACATTCAGAGTCAGAGGTGTCCTTGGGAAACAGGATCATCCCATCCAGGTCCCTGGTTTTGCAGACGAGAAAATTCAGATTTGTGATAGGATCTGGTGACCCCCACAGGATGAAGTGTCAAAGACAAATGCCCAGCTCTCAGGGCTCCAAGACCAGGGCTCCCTGTAAGTGAGTGTCCGCAGAAGAGGACCCTGCAGAATCTGAGATGGAAGCCTAGGACTGGCCGGGCTGTGAGTAGGCCCTGGTGATGGCCCTGGAAGCAGAGGGTGCGACCATGGTCAAGGGTTTTCTCCCAGACTTCACTCCCCTTGTCCCAGAAATTGCTGCCATACTGAAAAAGAAGGGTTGGTCCCCAGAGAAGAAGGCAGTGGGCCTCCACAAACACCCTCCTACCCCTAACAGGGTGGGTGACCAGACCCTGGGTGTCTCTGAGATGAAGGTGGCCTGTGGAGGTTCCAAAGGTAAGTCTGTTGGTCCTTCTCCTAGGCCCCAGACAAAGGGAACACCCAGGTCCACAGTGAGATACTCAGGTCAAGACCTTTGCCATCTGACCCTTCAGACCCCTCCCACTTTTCTCTTGTCCCAAAAGAGGTCAAAGAAACACTGCTTTTCCTTGCCCTCTGACTTTGGGTGGGTCCAGCCAACAGGGAGCTAAGACAGAAAAGCAGAGAGAAGAGCAGGAAGAGGGCATTTATTCCCTGCATCCTCCCTGTAGGCAAAGGCCCCACTCTACCTGGCAGCCCACTCCCCAGCCTGCTCTGTCACCATCTCCAGTGACCAGTCCCCTCTCCCTGTTTGTACCCCGGAGCGCTGCCTCATCCCTGTGGCCTCCCTGAACCTTCCTACATCTCCACGAAGAGTCTCTTCCTCAACACCCCACACGTTATGCTGATCTGGGTGTGGCATCTGCTTCCAGCCAGAGCCCAGCTAGCACACGCCCCGCCCTGCTCTATGGCCCTTCTATGCGGTGGGGTCAGCTAACCACACAAAGCACTGCTTCGCTGCGCCCTGTGTACCTCTCCAGGTCATAAATCCCATTCCGATCGCTAATGACCCGTTCAGTTTCATTGCACACTTCAACTTTGGCACAGGCCTCCTGCCAGATCAAGCTTTTGGATCTCATCCAGGTCCCTGTTTTCATTTAAACCTGGGCTCACACCAATAGCTCTTGAACCCAGGAAGACGCAGTTGTTTCCTGTTGAAATCTAAGTGGCATCAGTGGTATCCTGGAAACAGCTTGCACCAGCTCACAAGAGCCAGTTATGAAACTTTTAGGAATTTTGTGAGCCAGTTCTTAAAATTTAAATTTTATAATTTACTTATTATTAAACTTAAATTTTATAATTTTACAATGAGATAAATTACAGCTCTTCCTCAACTTTCATCATAAATTGGAAATACCGTTTACTTGGAAATGCAGTTAATACGTCAAACCTACCAAACCATTATCATTTAGTTCAGCCTACCTTGAATGTGCTCAGAACACTTACATTAGTCTACAGCTAGGCAAAATCATCTAACACCGAGCCCATTTGAGAGTAAAGTGTTGGCTATCTCATGTAATGTATTGAATACGCTACTGAAAGTGAAAAACAGAATGACTGTCTGGGTGCAGAAAGGCTGTAAGTATATCAGTTGTTTCCCCTCATGACTGCATTGCTGACGGGAGCTGTGGCTGGCTGCCCTGCCCAGCATCAACAGAGGATCAGACTGCATGTCTCTAGGCCAGGGAAAAGATCCAAATGCAAAATTCAAAGCACAGTTTCTACTAAATGCATATTGCTTTTCTAAAGTTGAAAAATTGTGAATCGAACCATCAAAAGTCCAGGAGTATCTGTATATTAAAAAAAAAAAAAGGTAATAAAAAATCAACATGGAGACTTCCCTGGCAGTCCAGTGGTTATGACTCTGTGCTTCCAATGTAGGAGGCGTGAGTTTGATACCTGGTAGGGGAACTAAGATCCTGCATGAAGCTCAGTGTAGCCAAAAAAAAAAAATTAAAAATCAATACATAATACTGCAAAAGACTGAAGGAGGAAAGGATGGCAGAGGATGAAATGCCCATCACTGACTCAATGGGCATGAATATGAGCAAACTCCAGGAGACAGTGAAGGACAGGGAAGCCTGATATGGTGCAGTCCATGAGGTTGCAAAGAGTCGGACACGACTTAGCGCCAGAACAACAACATAACTAATCTATTGCATTTTATTATGATCTGTGATTTACAACTAATAAATCTGTGTGATGGACATACTCTCCAGTGGTTTGCTACTTACATCTCTTTCTATCTCCAATTTTGGGACGTCATGGGGGATTCCGAACCCGGCCGAGGTGGAAATACTTACACCACAGAAACTGGCAAACACTTTAGTGCAGGGCTTTTTATCTCTTTGCTTGTTAAACAGTTACCAGCACACCACTATGTGGAACCAATGAACCCAAGTAAAGACAAAGCTGGAATTTGTATATAGAGATACTTGAGGATGTAGTGGGTGGGCCAAGCTGACCCTCCGTGTTTCCACCAGTCCTACCAGGCCAGCTGATTCAAGGCAGCAGATTGAGAGAATTTCTCTAAGCCAAGAATTTCCTCCTTCAGAGTATGGGAAGGTGGGGAAGACAGAAAGGAAATGTGGGCCAGGCCATCATAGTCCCAATTCCACAGCTATACCCTGGGTGTAGGAACTCATTCAACTGTGACAGAGTCAGCTGCAATGTCTAGGCAAGAAGGAAGATTTACTGGTTCACCTAAATGAACATTTCAAGGGTAGTCAATCTTCAGGCTGACTGGGCTCACAGAAGTGTCATTGGATCTAGGATTTCAGACAGTTTCTTATTTTTCTCTTTCTTTCCATCTCTCCATTCTGCTTTCCTCAAAATTAACTTTATTCCCCGGAAGCCTGCTCCTTTGTGATTACAACATGGCCAGGCTTGTATCCTGTATCTTCCCATCTTATGCTAGTGGCCTAGGAGCATCTTTTTT